AGATGAAGACACTGAAAGAAGGCTTGTTCGCTCGCCGTTTGTAGGTACTGTTGCTGTCAGATAGATCTGCTGAATGGATAATGGTACAGCTCGTCAGTTGGTGTCAACCGATGGACTATCTGGCGCCGCGATGGATGACAAACTGAACTTTGTCCGCTAATTAGGCCACGATCCCCGAATGTTTCCCGATCACCTCTTTATGCAATAGCTTCTCAAGGGTGTAGTCGGTGGACGAGTTCCGCGAGCATTTACTTGGTGACAGCACGCTTAGATTATGGAACTGAACGGATCGTTAGATAATGTCTTCTCTGTCGGAGGCTTTGGATCAGCCACCTCAGTGCTTATAAAGACTACATCCGTCATGACACAAATGGGCAGTCAGTGGTGCTCTTGCGATCGATATGTTACTCTAGCATCCGTCGACCTTGATACTTTTTTGCCGTTGTTAAGCCGATGGCTAAGTGGTGGAAGCTTCGGTTTACACCCTTAGTGTCCCGAGTTCAAGTCGCAGTGCTGCTTGATGAGTTCATTGATGTTGCAAACGAGCAACATTTTATATTCATTGGTATTTTGTTTCTTTGCCAGTTCTTCACACCGCTTCATTCGAACGTTACCACAGTAGCGACGCGAGTCACGGCAAACTGGTTCGCCACACGCCAGTGCTAGCGGCAATCGTCAAGCAGCGGGTGGGTTTTGTTGCCGATGACTGTTCGAATTGTCCGGGGGATTTTACAATAGGGTCGTGTTGGTGACCCGAGGGCGTGTTGAGTTTGGGATAAGTTTATAAAACTATAAACCAAATAGGGAGCCCAAACACACGTGACTGCATTTCGATATCTCCTCCATTGGGAAGATTCCACAACTGTGTACGCTAGTTGATCTTCACCGGCACTTGGTATGAAGTGCAGTTATGCTAACTAATGCGTACCTAGTATGCTAAAAGGAAAGTTGTTCACTAGTCAAAATAATCTGATCAAATTCATCGTTAAAGCTCTGCTAGATGTTGCTTGACAGTCAGGCCGGGATGATCCAAACCACGGAAACTTTACGAATGAGGTGGCGTTGCGAAAATGAGACTTGATCATATAGATGGGATTTTCTCCGGATGTCATTGTGAAAACAGCGCGTTTTCTTCATAGGTTACTCGTGTTAATATCGGCGCATCAGGTAATATGTATGTATATTTCTCGACTTTGCTAGTTACAGTCGAAAACTTGGCCTGATCATATGGTACAACATGATCTCAACGTGCACGTCTTTTCAGATTTACCAAAAGAGTTCAAAATCAGATATATGGGGAGATCACTTGGTATAAATGGTAAAAAGAAGGAGTTTAAAATAGAATGAAAGTGGTTAATGAAAAAAGCACAAGAGAATTAATACGGCTAACCTGGGAACCGGCCCCTGGGGACCTGCTTCCATGCGGAATATTCCCTCGAAAGGTTTCATCCGCACTTCCACGTCCCATACAGCTTCGTGTCGGTGTGGCATAACAGCAAGTGAGCCATCACCATACTGGCTCCTTTTTATGGGCATTATCATATATAATGAGTAATAGGATCGCAAAGATAAGTCAGCTCTCATGTTTTTCGTTTTTAAAATACTTTTTTTGGGCCATTCAGCCCATTTCGGCGTCTGACTCTTTCAAGTCTAACACCTGTCCCACTCGACGAGTATGTGCCAATTTGGCTTGAGTAGGCTTATTTTGCTCATCAGTAGGTCTGAAAATTCGCCACACGTGGATGTGTTAAATAACCCGGATGATTCGTTCAATCACCTCAGGAGATCGGCCCAGTCGTAGTCAACAGTGGAAAGGAGTATATAGTGAAGTATAGGAGTATATAGTGACGAAATACAAATAGTCATAAATGAGTGGTATATAACCGACAAGTTTTGCTTCAGGTTGTAAATATAGAATACATAGAAAAATAAAAAAAATATGGAAAGACGGCTCTATGAACGATTTTGAAATATATCCAGCGACTCCGGACAATCGAGTTGTAAGGGAATTGGTGTGGAGTGGACTTCACAGTGTCAAGAACTGCCACAGGTAGATGAGTTGTTTTCTCCAGAAAAGTGATAACAATTAGCAGTGCGCAGCAAGTGTAGAGAGAGTAGTTCTGGATGGCAAAAAGCGAAATAATGTGATGTTGAAATTGGAAAATGTTTAACGGTTTAGCTAACCGATGAAGTTATTATTCAAGCAGTGCGCATATATTATCGTGTACTTGTCCCTGTATATCTATACTTCAACCCATTTTTTATGCATTGACTCCACTCTGCAGTCCAGTTTCATAAGTTCTTTGACTTGCAACAGTGAGGTAAGTATCCAGAATTTCTCCAAACGACTATTTAGACTCACATAGCCGCAATTCAGTAGATAGTCTGTTCCATATATCTGAGTACTTCATCAGATTAAACTTCTCGTATGCTTGTTTTTGTTCTACTTGTTGAAAGCGAACTTCTTGTTCCTAATGTTACCTTCCATTCTGATTGAAGTGTATACTATTGCTAGGGGCAAATACTCGTTTGTACACTAAGTCGAATAGAAACTCCAGGCCCAGTTTCAACCTCCGTAACTTTCAAGGCTCTAATTTAAGCAGAATACAACGCTCTGGATAGTTTGGTGTTGGGGATTCGGTAAATAGGGCTTTGATGAATCGTTTTTCAGGCATAGACGATCACGTTCCCTACAACTAGTAAATATTATTGAACAGTGTTCCAAAAGAAGGCGCACAGATCTTTAACATATGCAGACTGGAATCAGGTAATATCAGCGGTTTGAAGATTAACCGCGCTGTTTGGCTGCTACGAATTTCATTCGCTCCCTGAAATTGAGAGTGGTTGTATAATGAATATCTAGTCTCTTATTGTGCTGCGAAAGGTATACGGTATTCATGTCTATTTCGCATCGATATGCTAAGATCCCGCATTTATCCGCCGCGAATGAAATCTGCCAGTTGTTACACCATCTTTCGAGAGCTAATAAATCACTCCGTATCATATCAAAAACGTCTTAGAGATTTCTAAGATTAAAATTGTACAGTACCTTAATATCAGCAAAAACGTAAGCTGTACCATTGTTAACAGTTTCTGTTACGTCATTAATGCACATCAAGAATATCAGTGGACCAAGGACACTGCTTTGGATCACACCACTAGTAACAGGCATCGATGATGACCTACGGATACCTGCTTGCACTTATTGAGTGCAAGCAGATATGATCTAAACCAAGCACGCGAAAGGTCTATGATGTCAAATTGTGACCATTTCCATAGCACGTAGCGATGCGGCACTATCTCCAATGCATTTTGCATGTCGACGATAGCTGTATGGCAATTATTCAGATCTCGTTAAACAATTCAAGAACCCCAGTTGGTTTGTTTGACATGATCGTTTCGGTATAAATCCATGCTGAGTCTGGTTCACCTGATTTTGTGAGAGCAAATGGTTCGTTTTCTCTTTGACTATTCTTTCCATTACTCTCGCAACAGCAGGCGTGTGAATTATCGGGCGGTAGTTTCTGAGGTCTGCAATGGGACATTTTTGTGCCTAAACTTGACCTGCGCGAGTTTCCATTGGATTGAAAAGGGCTCGACTCCATGGACATGGTAAGCAAGTTTAGGATTAAAAATGGAATATCATGCCCGTTGTATCTTAGCAAGGAAGTTGGTAGACCGTCTGGACCAGGATAAGAGGATGATCTTAGTCGGTTTATGTGGCGCTGAATATTTCCGCCATTGAAAGTCACTGTGCTCAGTTCTACAATGATACTGGTTGTCCTAGACAAAGGTACGTCGCATAGAATAGTGAACGATGAGGTAATGTGATTATTTATAGTATTTGCTATTATGTAAGGTGCCGAAGCCAGAGATTTGTATGGTAAAATAATGGCGGAAACTGTATCAGGATGGATTTTATTTCGTGTCCGCATCATTTTGATTAAGTCTCCGGATTTGCTTGTAGACTCCCGAGCTCATTTCTCTTCAGCCAGTAATCTCCGTGCTCTTTTTAACTGAAATTCAGCAAAGAGCATTCAGATGATACGGCTGCATATCTTTAACACTGGCATGTGTAACATATTGATCAGGATACCATCCATCTCCAACGACTAATTATAAGGGGATACAGTAACTCGTAGATGTTAACCGAATCCCCACCATATGATTGCGGTTCACATTGATTATGATGATCAGGCCACTTTAGTGCGGTGCTACTCTGATGGAATCAGAAAAATTGAGCAACTTTCGAAGGAGTACCAAAGCTAAGTGGTGTAACTGAACTTATCGACGGAAGATAAGTTGCCTGAGATATACCGAACCGGCTTTGGAGTGACAAAGTATGGCCACCATTGCTGACTGAATGGCCTCAGTCTCTATCTGAGCGGAAGATTGCCGTATTGAGGACAAATGTTGTCTTTGCATCGCCTTCAACGATTCACCGGGTGCACATAACCAATATTCCGCAGCAATCCAACAACGCGCTAGCTGATCTCGTCACTATCGGAGAACATCCCAGATCCATCTGAAGGTCTGCGCAGAAGTCTGATAATGTCACTACATTGAAACACCTGTAATAAGGGTTTATGCCTTGCACTCTTTCCTCGACATAAACGATCCATCCGGACGTCATTCTCGGCAACTGTCATCGCATTTGGATGCCTATGCCCTCCATCCGTGAAATGTGCGTCCTCACTGGCTTTGGCACAGCCTGGTCAAAATCCCATAATCTGTGACCATGGCGTACGGCAATGTCCGTAAGCAACCCAACAACCACACAGCATGTTCCCTAAATTCAGCTTTAAACCCAATTGGCTTTCTAAAGAACAGACGGTTCAGTGCATCATCTAATTGACACTCCTTTAGGTACAAAATATCTGTCATCTACCGGCCAACTGTGAACAAAAGTATAATTAGAGAGAAGGATTTATTGGAGCATGCAAAGTAGAAGGCAGGGAATTACGACGTAAAACCCATTAAGGTTAGGACGCGGTTCGGTGTCAATAATGTCCGGGGTCTTTGAGTAAACTTTCAAATCGATCCAAGGTTCGTTTGACAGCTTCGCTTGACGACAATAGGAAGAAAAAGGCGGTCGAATTAAGTCAAATGGCACTCTTGGAAAATGACAGTGAAGTGGACCATCCTCAGAACTAGGTTCTCTAAAGTGCGAAGCAAGTAAAACAAATGATACACTCCTCAAGTTGCGAAGCATATCATCGGATGTGGAATAATGATGAACGAAATCAACTAGACACCAGTGTAGGCAAGCATCTGAACCTAAGTCCGACCAAATGCATTGAAGAGAACACAGTGAAGCTACTAGAGTAAGAAAGCCACACATGCTAGGGAAACGGATGAGCTGCTATAGCAGACAAATGTTATCAACTGTGCTATACAGTTCCAGTACATGGTAGGTTCATCGCGCCTTCCGTTCAGACTCCGATGCCGATAGCCAAAAATTAGTATGACTTGTTTATGGCGGCAAAGCATCGGTACAGAACTCCGACGTACATCCGATACCTGCTTTTTACATCGATAGCTACACATAACATTCGAAATGGAACAATCAAGAGATCAGATTCATCGTTTCTAACCCCATCATTCAATCTGAGTATTTTAGTTTTACGTTTGTTCCTCTGGAAATGTCGTCAATTGTTTCCTTCATTAGTATTATTAACATTGTTGTTTTGGTGACTTGAGTCTAGGCATACAGGTCATAATTGACAGTGAAAATGAGAAATCAACGAAGGAAAAAATCGGTACATGATGATCTCATCAACCACAGATTGAAAATGGTAAGGAACGGAAACGATCCAATATGATGCATTGGGTGATAGCAAAACCGATAGAGGATACATTTCTTTCTCCAACGGCTTCACCTGGACAACCGCCTTGGACAACTCTTCACACTTGGCCATCAAGGCGTAGGTTGTCTGAAAAAGATAAAAGCCGGTTTGAGGCAGCATGCGGATATTGTGGTCCGATGGTGGTTACGGTACAAACTCCATAAGAGGCTGCGATCCCCAAGAATACGCACAACTTGTGCGCCAAGAGATGAAGGCCAAATGGATAAAGACTCTTTATGAACGCTGTCGCCAATCTAAATGTTGTATTAACGTTGAAAATGAAACCCAGTCTATACGATGTGAGTGAGTTCTTGGAATAGTGATTTAAAAAAATTAACGAAACCAAAGTGATCAGTTTATTGAACAAAATGCTGCCATTCGGTACACAAAGATTATGTGTACTGGAATTAGCCGAGAACTGCAATGGGTACCTTTGCGAGGAAGTCGATACCCCCGTCTGCGGTGCAAAACATTCGATGGAATTACACAAATGCAAAATCTCCGTCAAAGGATGAAGTGTAATGCGACTCTATCGAACATTCAACCCGAGAGCTAGCGATGCGTATAACCTCCCTCACCGTCTGAAACATGAAGCTCGATAAGATCATGGGAATTTCGTCAACCGGGGGTAAAGTTTAACCCCCTTAAAATGTTACGGAAACATGTGGCCCGGGCGGTTCTCACACATTTGTCCTGTGCCTTATTGTACAACACCCACGGCCAACTAGCCAAATAAAACGTGGTAAATAAAGCCTCAGCTGAACACTAAGAAGGATCGTCTCCGAATGAGGAAAAGAGTTAATAAAAATCCGGAGCGTTGCAGCCATTCCAGTGGGATGGCACTTGCCCAAAATCCAGTCTCGAATTGGACCACAAGAAGTAAGAGGTATGGATGGACCACAGTGGTAAAGAGGATGAGCGTCGGTTGCGCAACGCGCACCGATCGTTCAACACACGATACCGTATAGGAAATATTCACAGCGAACCCGGGCAAATGAAAGGGCAACTACAGCATGTATTTCAGATACTATCTCTTCAGGATAAATCAGTCAGACGATATTAATGTAATCCTAGCAATGTAGACAAGAGCAATGTGAACAAATGATACTAGGTGAAATAGTGTATGAAGATGGGAACTGATCTATCTGTAAGCTACGCTGAGTACGCACGGGCCAAGCAAAATTATGGCAGAATTTAAGCATCAACCAGTGAAGACGCTCGAGAAAATACGCATGGATGACGAGGGGTTTAACGGAGCTCGGCGAATAATGAGTAACGGTCTAGAGAAAGCAAGCAGAAAAATGGAGCAAGTGATCATGAGACACATGTTGAGTTAGCTGGATTAGAGAATAACAAGCTTCGAAACCCGTCGCATCACAGAGTACACAACCTAACCAGGACAAGTGTCAAGTACGGTCACATCGGGCTACCTTGACATCCATCCAGTCCTCATTCGACTGCAACTACTCAAGCTGATCAGTGATCAATCTAAATCGCTCACCTTAATGCTAGCGTCCACGGCATCACATGTCAGGTCCACAGAATTGCTCAGAGTTGAAGTGCAGTCCATCGTAAGGCCAGACATCTAAGGAAGATAGTTGAGTTTAAATGTTACGCTGTAATTCATAAAGGCATAGAATGTACGCACAAAATCACATGCATTTGTTGTCGGACTAAGTGGGGATTGAGCTATACAAGCACTATCCCGAATAAGATAGATCAATGCGAGTTGGCTATAGCAATGAAAACTGGTAGCTCAGGTTGTTCAGATGGCTGTTGAACTGTGCGCTGAGCTTGGCAATTTTGTTGCAAACGTTTTGTCACCAATCGAGGTGACATCATCAGTGCGTAGTGGAGTGGCATGCAATAGCGTAGAGAAGCCTCTCACTCTCACCGAGGCTTCTCTACGCAACTCTACGCTATTGCATGCCACTCCCCTACGCACTGATGATGTCACCTCGATTGGTGACGAAACGTTTGCAACAAAACTGCCAAGCTCAGCGCACAGTTCAACAGCCATCAATGCGAGTTGCTCGCAAATCGTGTGGCGACCGCAACTCAGTCAATGTGAAATAGTTTTGATCTTTTAGACAAATGGATCAGAGCTACCGTGCGGAGAACGAGACTATACACTATAAAATTATGACAACCGTCTTACCCTCCAAATCGGCTAGTGAATAGACTCAAGTAAGCTGAACTTTAAAGTGCTGCCATGAGTCTATTGGTTGAGCGGAGTTGCACCTCCAAAGTGCTTTCAGAGCCATTCGTACTAAAAGGTCGGATTTCAGCAGTCAAAAGAGCGATTTCAATATCCTCTTGATCACAGGTGAGAGATGGGGAGGGGGTGCAGTTCGCCCAACCAAAACTTAACCGTTGGAGACAAAACCTGCACCCAACAGCTAAGAACCTTTTATTTAGGATTAAGCAGCTAGAGAGACCATTGCGGTCACCAGAACTCCCACCTTTTGTCTACCTGCTATGCCCCTTCAGATTTCTCCTTTCACGTTAAACCGGCAAGGGACTATCACTGAGTTCGCGAAAAATACTGGTGGGGTACTTAACGAGTAATTTGAACCAAGGGCCTCACCTCATATTAATTCTTTCATGATTGCAATTTAGTACAGAACGGTTAAAAGACGGCCGCAGCTCCCACTCATCGTTTCATGGGAGTTGGTGAGTTGCTTCCAAAACGACAGAACATGGTTGGCGGCATCCGGTTTCGGATTTGCCTATCACTGTGGCCAGCCACAGGACGCCTGCGCCTACAGAGGGACCATGGGTGGCTTGCGCTGCACCACCCACAGCTCCATCCACACACCCCATATCCAGTGTAAACCCGTAGGAATAAAACCGGGAGGCATGTGGATGGAAGCCACATTTCATCAACGGAGCCGGTCTACACTCCTTCACAGGCAAAACACAAGCACGCTGTATTTGGGGAACCAAGTGCACACAAGACGGTGGCTGGACCGTTGTCCGCTCCACACTGAGTGCATGGAACCACTTTTCGAGCCTAGCACGGCCACAGGGACCGCGCACCCCGTACCCTCCAGCAACGACCAACTGTTTCCTGGAGCCAGTATGGTCGAGGTAGTGGGTAATAGACAGGTAGGCATCCTGTCAACATGCACAACAGGCGCAGCCACATTGGGGATATCAAGCAACAGCCAATCACTTGAAACGACAATAGCGAATAAAATAAATCGAATAATGCATACAGATATGCCGACATAGCTCTTTAATAAATGAGCATTTGAAATAAATTGGTTGCCAAAAATCCGCTATAGTTTCAAGAAGTCGTAAAATATATTTTAAGAAAATGTCACAAACGCGAAAATTTTATCGAAGTTAACTACAGTAAACTTGAGCGATGTGTGCGAGTTAGTAGAAGATAGTACACGTAGGCAATAATGAGACAATATAGCAAACCCACCACCTGAAATAAAGTGACCCAGCATACAAGCACGCATTTAGTAGATCGAATGCAGGGTACCTACAAACGGTGCGCCGGTTCTGCCTAGGTTCTATGCAGGACCCGTCCTCTGTTCGGTGGTGGACCCCAGTGGCCTCGCTCATGGCTCACTAAGCCTGTCTGACTCAGGCACTCGCGACCGCATGTGCTACAGCACCATGCGCTCGATGTTGATGGTGCACAACCCAACGGCGCCCGCCGCTTCTTCTCTGCATGCACCTCGGCCGCCGCCTGCGTGATCAGACCGCGGCATTCACGCCGATCAACCGCCCTCTATTCCTATGACCTGCAATCAAGATTAGAACGTGAGAGGCTCACTTTGATCATGTCCTGGTAACAAAGCTTCCGTTTCCCCGCAGGCCGCTTCCCAATACTCAGCTGACCATGTAATAGCTGTTTCGGTATCCGCGTCGAATCCATACGGCTCACCTGACCGAGCCACCACAGGTGTCTGAGCAAAAGTATGCAGTCCACTGCACACATTCAACTTCGGCGCAACACTTCCGCGTCCGCAACTCTGTCGCCCCAACCGATGCGCAAAATCCGTCACAGACACTGTAGATGGAACCGCTCGAGATATCGCACATTCGCCGGTACATCGTCCATGTTTCACTGCAAACCAAAATTCCTAAGTGGCTTTCAATCAGTCATCGTTGGAAACGTATACATTGCTCCTCACACATCTGCATCGGAGTTAAAGCTTTGTGATGACCAGCTTTCTTCAACGCTACTGCTTAAATTAGATTGTTCCGTCTGTATTGTTGCTGGCGACTTGAATAGAAAGGATACCATATTCTTGAAGACACTTGGCTTGGTAGACCTAGTGACTGTCCCGACCAGACAAGATGTCCAGTTGGACGCTGTGTTCACAAATAAACGACAGTTGTTTGCCATACAATAGTGGGCTCCTTTGAGCAGCTCAGACCATTATAGTTTAAAACTATGTCCCGTCAAATACAGCAGGTCTAATATTTTAACGCTGACCAGACATCCTTACAAGAGTATCAAACGGCGAAATTGCTCCTTGGAAAATATCACGAGGCTCCAGACGATGTTTTCTTTGATTTTTTGGTCTTCAACGACAAGCACCTGTCGCTCGAATGTGACCAGCTTACGGACTACATCAAACATTGCTTTGACATGTGTTGCCCTGTTGAAACAATCTATCTAAGAGCAGATAGATTTTTATCACCATTACTAAAGCGACTTCGTAGGATGAAAGAATGGGCCTACAAGTACAAAAATGTTACCCGTATCAAAAGCCTAACCAAGGCAATTAAATCCGAGATAAAAAGGCTAAATCAATTATATGTCGAAGTAGCTCTAGGCAAACATAACTGTCGCGATCTATGGGGGCTTCTGAGGCAGCTCCGTGGTAGGAGCGTTTGCAGCCAAAGAGGTGAAGTGGATGTGGATAAACTGAATTCGGAGTTTAGTTCCGCCTCACTAAGCCCATCTTCCTTGCTCTCCTTCATTAGCTCAAGTTTAGCCGCGTCCTTCGGTCAAAGCAACGTCCACAAAGAACTCAAAAGATTAAAGGTAACCAAAGCTTGTGGTCCGGATGCTCTCTCACCATTAGCTTTGAAGTAGTGTGCTGATTCTCTCACATTGCCTCTAACAGATTTATTTAACAAATGCCTCAATATGGGTGTGATCCCGGACATTTGGAGAACGGCCAGTATCACTCCAGTACCAGAAACTGGATCCAAAAAGTATCGCCCAATTGCATGTACCTCTATGCTCCTAAAAATTTTCGACTGTTAATTCCGAGGATCTTTTCAGCCGCTTCTGAAGACGATATCTACTAGATTGCATATAGACCCCAACGCTCCACATTGGATGCAGTGGTATACGTCGTCCATTCTACAGCCTCAGCATTAGATCAAAAATTTAAATCCGTACTATTCGAATGCCTTTGGAAGCCTGTATAGGTCAAGGCTGCTAAACCTGTTATCCGAAAATGGAGTTCACCCTGGTGTGTGTAATCTGTTACGTGACTAGTTTACAGATCGTACTCACTTCAGCAAGTTGAACGGTAAGAAATTCTCTGTCCTCCGTGTAGACTGTGGTGTTCTACTGGAAGCGTTCCTACCACCTGTTCTATTTTCCTTGTATGTTGAACATCTTCCTATACAAACCACCTTTATAGGGTGTAAATATGCTGATGATGTTGTGCTGAGATGTTTGTCCCCCACTAACCAGGATTCCCCATCACTTCAACGTGAGTTGGAAGATCTGGTGCAATGGTCTTCATGCAGATCTCTTACGCTTAACGCTTCTAAATGCAGGGATGTGATATTTTCTTTTCTACGTGGCGATAAGTTGCAGTCCCTTATAGCTTTCTCTCCCACACTGTGAATGAAAATCCCATACCCAGCTCTTCTACCGTCAAGTATCTCTGCGTATTTTTTGTCCCAGAACCTTTCCTAGTCCACGCATGTCTAAAAATTTTCAATAAGTCAGAAAACTTTCTTTCTATGCCCTCAGACTTAAGGTGCTTTCAGTACCTCGTAGTTTAATATTCAGGTTTGTGACCTGTTGTATTATTCCTCATTGGCTATACTGCTCTTCTGTCATTTTCCCTGGACTGCTTCAGAAAGACTACAATAATAAGTGCAGATGACAAGAATGCTGGTGTAGATCCCTCGTGGAACCTCGAACAACGCCTAGGTTGGTTTTTCCAGCTGTACCTCGATCACAACGTTAGCATTAGTAGTACCGGTTCCCAAAGCTATCACTCCCTGCGTTGCTTGACACCCAGTATCACTGTATGGACACGGCCGCCACGCCGTGAAGCCACTAGGAGGCTGCTCATTGTCTATTCACGATGATAGGAGCGAAATAACAGAAACACATCAATGCTCTGTATCGTGAGTTCAATTGGTAGCTCGGACGAACAGAACCGACGCAGAACAAGTGAACAAAAAGCCAATTAGACGCAGCTCACACGAACTGACTACAATTGCACGTAAAGTCAACGGTCTAATAAGTAGACAGAGCCGGACAAGTCGATGGAATTCAGCGGATGACAGGTGGAGTCGCCGCAGCATCAACATTGTAGCACATTAGCTGAAGGTGAGCGGCACACTTCGGCTATTGTGCCGCAATAAAGA